AATACATATTCGAGTCAAAACTCGAGTGTTAGCTCGAGGGCCAAATAAAGTGACAGAACCTCAAGTAATTAGCTCAAGGGCCAACTAAAGTGGTTGAACCTTGAGTGGTTAGCTCGAGAGTCAAGTAAATTGACAGAACCTCGAGTGGTTAGTTGTAGGGCCTTAGGCCTTTGACAGCCTTCAACATCGAAGGGTGCTTATAATAATAATAAATAAAATTACATATTTGAGTCAAAACTCGAGCGGTTAGCTCGAGGGCCAAGAAAAGTGAGAGAACCACGAGTGGTTGTCTCGAGGGCCAAGTAAAGTGGTTGAACCTCGAGTGTTTAGCTCGAGGGACAAGTAAAGTGGCATAACCTCGAGTGGTTAGCTCTAGGGCCTTAGGCCTTTGAAGTATTATTCTCAAGTGACAGTAAGCCCGAAGCATGCAGCTCGGGTGCCAAAAATAATTAAGTTTTGGTATAAGGCAGGGATCTTGATTAAGTAGCTCGAGCCTAATTAGTTTAATGGCCAGGTTAGCTCAGCTGACGAAGCTCATAGGTCAGAGACCTAAAGAGCTCGGATACCGGAAGGGACTTCATGACTCGCAGGTTGGAAGTGTGGAGGTCGTGGTTATGATGTGGTGATGCCCGAGCAGGTAGTTCGGAGGCTATAGAGTCAAAAGAAGCGTAAAGTTGGCCCAAAAGCTATAATTGCACGCAAGATGTAGAACTCCGACATAGTAGACCGTGATGACTAGATATGCTCAGGACCTCGACGCCATAAACTTGGCTAAGAAATTATTGTTCTACTCTTAAAAAAGCCTTTTTCTAATAAACATTTTTAGAGTGGGGGAGGGCTAGATAATGTAACACGAAAAATGGCTCAGTGGGTCTGCTTGAGCGATTAGCTCGGGTACGGCCGATGCAAGAGAGCATAAGCCCAATTTATACGCTTTAAAGATATGTGGTATTTATTATATACCTATAAAGATGTAGAAAATATTCCTAAAAGATATATAAGTGAGTTTGTGTACATCCACACAGTTATTCTGAAGGATCGAACTCCTTGGACGAAATCATTAAGTTTCTTGAAGTAGAATTCTTGTATTTGATTTGGAGATCCTCAACATTGAGTTCCAATGGATATCTTGTGTTTCTAGACTCGTGTAAGAATACGACTTTCCTAAAATAACCGATCTTCTAAATCTCAAAGATCTTGTGGTGAATCTTTTCAAATCATCATTAGATCTTCTCTAGAACGTCCAAAATTCTTTATGTATGAATAGTTCATCCTTTCATAGTCTTTGCCACTTATTCCTTGTCCTACAAGAGACTACTAATGGCATAAAATCAAACTCATTAATACAAGTGACGTATATGGTAAGTGAACATATAAGATATATATTATGTAAATCTTTCTTCTAAAGGATTAGGACTCCATAATACATATTATAATAACTATATACTATATATTATTAATAATAAATAATAGGAACTTAACTAATCCACAAGTAAAATAAACAGTAAACTTCTAGAAAACACTTAAGTTTGTCGGACGATGTCAAACAAATATTTTTACAATCTCTCTCTTTGGCATTCAATTTAAAAACCGTGTTTCTTGAAGATAACTTACAAAATATACTCGAAACAGCAAAACAAATACCTATGTTCGAACATCAAGAAGTGAACAACTCAAACACCTGCAATGTAAGAACATCAGAACAGTTTCTATCAAAACAATCAAGAGGACTATAATCAGAGCAATCAAAAGACATCAAGCTACTAAAATCTAAGTCAAATAGAGTGACCAACTCATCTCCACCTGTCATAATAGTCAAAACAATCAAACAACAAGACATAGATGTTCTTACATCCTGCAAAAGCATGTCAAAAACAACATCTTAAATTATCAGAAGTGAACAACTAGAACATTACCTTAAAAAGATTGTATATAAGTCTATTCAAGCAATCAATTGAAGGGAGCTGGTGCAATAATCGAGTTCATCATTCATCAGATTCAATAGAGTGTTTGAAAGTTTTTTATTTTTTATTTTGCTTGTCTCAGCACTTAGTGTTCTTACATTGCTAAAGAATTATGTTCGTTTTGTTTCTTCATCGTTTTACAAACACTTTTGAGTGCTTAGGGATTAAGTACTTTTATAGCTGGGAGGGATCCATAGCTATTATCTATTATCGAAGTCCACGTGTTCGTGGCCAGGGAAGTAATTGATAGGACTGGGTATAGTGTTGGCTAGGCTATGAGGGAGTCCGAGTAAGTTCAAGCTGTACTTTGTGCGCACAAGTCGATTTATCAATGAAAGAGCTCTGAGGGGTAGTAAGACGCTCCCCGAAGACATATTTTTTTTTATATCATTTCTGCTTTTAAATATATTTTTATGTGTTGTAGCACAATCTATACATTGGCGTTGCAAATCATAATACGTACTCTATACTCCCCCACCCTCATTTTATTGTTGTTACATAAAGGTCGCACTCCTTAACTCCCCAACTAAGAGGACTATAACCAGAGCAATCAAATGCATCAAGCTATTAGAACCTAAGTCAAATAGAGTGACCAACTCATCTCCCCTTGTTAGAATAGTCAAAACAATCAAACAACAAGACATAGATGTTCGTACATCCTGCAAAAAATGTCAAAAATAACATCCAAAATTATCAGAAGAAAACAATTAGAACATTACCTTAAAAATATTGTATATAAGTTTATTCAAGTAATTAATTGAAGGGAGTTGCTGCATTAATCAAGTTCATCATTCATCAGATTCAATTGAGTGTTGAGAGTTTTTTTATTCTTTTTATGTTGTTCGACTCAACACATTAGTGTTCTTACATTGCTAATCAACTATGTTCGTTTTGTTTCTTCATCGTCTTACAAACACTTTTGAGTGCTTAGAGATTAAGTACTTTTTATAGCTGGGAGGGATCTATAGCTATTATCGAAGTCCACGTGTTTGTGGCTAGAGAAGTAATTGATAGGATCGGGTATAATGTTGGCTAGGCTAGGAGGGAGTCTGAGTAAGTTCAAGCTGTACTTTGTGCGCGCAAACCGATTTATCAATGAAAGAGCTCTTAGGGGTAGTGAGACACACCCCAAAGACATATATTTTTCATATCTTTCTACTTTTAAATTTATTTTTGTTTGTTGCAGCACAATCTATACATTGACATTGCAAATCATACTGCGTACTCTATACTCAGTCACCCTCATTTTAGTGTTGTTACATAAAAGTCGCACTCTTTCACCCCCCCAACTAAGAGGACTATAATCGGAGCAATCAAAACGCATCAAGCTATTAGAACCTAAGTCAAATAGAGTGACCAACTCATCTCCCCCTGTTAGAATAGTCAAAACAATCAAATAAGACATAGATGTTCTTACATCCTGCAAAAGCATGTAAAAAACAACATCCAAAATTATCAGAAGCAAACAACTAGAACATTACTTTCAAAAGATTGTATACAAGTCTATTTAAGCAATCAAATGAAGGGAGCTACTGCAACAATCGAGTTCATCATTCATCAGATTCAATTGAATGTTGAGAGTTTTTTTTAAATTCTTTTTAGTTTTCTCGTCTCAACACTTTAGTGTTCTTACAGTGCTAAAGAACTATGTTCATTTTGTTTCTTCATTGTTTTACAAACACTTTTTGAGTGTTTAGGGATTAAGTACTTTTATAGTTGTGAGAGATCTATAGCTATTATTTAAGTCCACGTGTTTGTGGCTATGGAAGTAATTGATAGGACCGGGTATAGTGTTGGGTAGGCTAGAAGGGAATTCGAGTAAGTTCAAGTTGTACTTTGTGCCCACAAATCGATTTATCAATGAAAGACCCTCATCTGAGGGATAGTGACAAACACCCCAAAAACATATAATTTTTATATCGTTTCTACTTTTAAATTTATTTTTCTGTGTTGTAGCACAGTCTGCATACTTTATACATAAACATTGCAAATCATACTGCGTACTCTATACTCCCCCACCCTCGTGTTGTCGCATTCTTTCACTCCCCCCACTCACACACACTTCAAATATGATAAATGTGACCACATCATATGACCGCACCACATGGTTGCACAATATACATGTGATCAAGTGAGGTGTGAAAAGGAAAATGTTTGAACAATTGGTGTAAAAAGACTTGCTTGAGGTGAAAATATATAGTGATTCTCACATCAGTTAATATTGTTTCACTGCTCATGCAAGAATCTTTATTTACTATTTCCACTGAAAAAAATATGTATTACAGAGTTAAATTCTTGTAGTACAAAACAAAATTACCATTAACTGTAAGGAACTAATTATGAACTCTTTTTCTTGACAACAACTATATTTTGCAGCAAAAACAGCTTCTTCAACATCTTCCCCCACAACTCCAAATTCTTTCTCTTCAAAATCCCACATTCCATTTTCAACCCTTCAAAATCATCATCATTTTCATCGTCACCGTTAATGTAACAAAACTCGGAACAATCGGACGACAATTCCATGTGACAATTGCTAACATCATTAGAATTACTCTCGAAATCGTTACCTAAGCCGTCTTGTAATAATTCTTCGTTGAAATCCTCCCAAAGCACGTCCATCTTCTCTTCATCTGCCTTTGAGCCTCCATCTAACTTTCCATTTTTGTCACTCTCCAAATATGGCGAGCTCGTGAAAATTCTCTTTCGAAATATGACCCCGATTTGGCGCTCGGAATTTTGCGCGCAAATATTATCCGATTCGTCGACTGATGAAATTCGCCATAGAGAAGGAAAGACGTTAACGTTGTTGCTAGTGATAATTACCGGGAATGTGAAATCCTCTGTATTTGTGTTCATCTCTAATTAACAACGAAATTTAATCAAGAAATATGGAAAATAGATGTATAAAAAAAAAAGTTAATGGAAATTGAATAAGAAGAAGGAAAAAAAGGTTTTATTTTATTTTTTAAATTAAAACGAGAATAAAAATTGTATGAGCTAGCAAAAGGTATATATATAGTGTGTGTTGTAGTAGAATAGAATGGTGGAATTTTATATATGAATTAATTAGGTGTGCGTATTTATTGTGCATGTTCTCTTGTATGAAAATTAGTTGAGGAATTATTATTACGGGGAAATGCTACGGTCCCGTTACGGAATCATTTCGTCTGGATTTGTAACTGCTAGATCAACTATCCTTGACGATTACATGATGATCTAACGGTTACAAACCTCGATTGAATCGTTCCGTAACAAGCATTTGTTTGAGTTTTTGTGTGCGTATGTTTAATATCGCCAGTTTAGGCATTGATGGCGGGAGGTTGGGTCAATACGTGTTTGAGTTATCATTCTCTTTAGAGTTTGGTGTTATTAATTGTCGAAAGCTACATACAAACGAGTGTTTTGAATTAAAGGGCCGTCTATATAACGGCAACATTCCCTTCTTTTAACATAACTAACATGTATAAATTATTTTTATTTACCAATATGTTATTTCGTACTATTGTTTTGATTTTTATAGTTCATATGAATTTAGTACTTAAATAATATATTTGAAATAGTAATAAATTACTACGGTTCAGTAGAGTTGATCATATATTTTCCATCTCTTTTAATAAGCGTTACTTTTTTAAGCAAAAAATGTTAAGCCTGAATCTGTTAGCGTTAGCCTGTAGATTAATTGATATATATTATCCAACTAACCTGCACGTTTACACTGATATAAGTTTTAGTACATATATTTATGTTTTGATATAAGAAAAATAACAATTTAACTTATTTATGTTCATCATATAATACGTAATTATTATTTTATTATAAATTAATTGCCACATAATGTCATTATTATTGTTTATGAAATTTTATATTTTTATTGTTTGTATTTTTTTAGAGTTATTATTTCAATTTAAAATTATATATTTATTTAATAATATATATATAATTGCTTAATCATTACATCTGCTTAGTTCTATATTTATTTGTTAATTAAATATCTTGAATTTCATGTTTCATCTTTCATTGATTTTTGTGTCTATGCTGTTGTAGGATATTAAATCAAAGATCTAAACATTTATTGTGAAATTTGTGTGCCTAATTTTTTTTTTCTCCCTTTACACATAAATGACTTTGAATAAATGACTTAATAGTCAACACTAAAGCCCTGGTCGTAAGGGAATTATAATTCGGACATTAGTGTTGACTATAATTTTATTTGAGTTGACCAAAATAATTAATCAAACAATTAATCATTTTGCGAGATAATTGAAGTCTTTTGTTAATTTTTATAATTTTATTTATTTATTTATTTATTATTGTTATTATTTTTTTTTGGTACAGAGACCTTCCAGTTTTCGGATCCACAGGGGAACCGACTAATCCGAAATCGAGCCAGATAGGACCACAAGGGCGACAAAGCTCTCCCTCAAGAGTTTTAACACTGCTGCATTCCCAGGGCTCGAACACGAAACCACTGGTTAAGCTGGAAGAGACTCAAGCCATCTCATCCAATCGCTCTTTGCTATTATTGTTATTATTTTAAATAGACTTGTGTCGAAGTAGATAGGCCATGATATGGAATTAGATTGAATTTATATATTTATTTATATTATTGAATATTTGAATTATATTTGACCGAAAGTGTGAACATCCTATGAGATCCTTTTTTAATTCATAAATCCACCTTCCCCTATATATTAATTCAAAACATGTTAGAGTCTAAATGGCAGACTCGCATAATTTGGGATCTTATGTAGCAAGATTACATGCTTCGTTATTAGGCTTGAATATATTATAATTTATTTCCAATCCAGAAAAGTTAGGTTTGGATTATCCATAAATATGTTGATTATTTATGGTTCTGTTACATGTATTAATTTCATTTTAATATAATTTCTTATTATAAATATTGAATTGAAAATGTATTTTAAAAGTTTATAATTTTAATATTTTTTATCAGTTTTGCATATATAATGTATCAAATTAATCATCTTTTGATGAGTTTCGATTTAACATCCATATTTTATGTATAAAAAAATATATTTATTTTTATAGTAATAATAAAATTATTTTTTAATATTAATTAAAGATATAAAATTATTTATCAATTAATATATTTATGTTTCAAGTAGTTATATGATATAAGTTATAAAAATTACTATAATATAACACATGTATGTCGCACAAGTAACAAGTGTTATTCTAAAATATATTATAATATATGTTTTTTGTAAATAAATAAATAAAATATAAAATAATTTTTTTCTCATTAATTTTTAAATTTAAGAATAATTTTTTAACAAGCACCCGTGTAATACACGGGTCCTGTACTAGTATATAAATATTGTTGTACTAGTACAACATCCGTGTATTACACGGGTGTTTGTTAATTTTCTCTTAAAATTCAACATTAATAAAATTATTTAAAATTTTATACTTTTTGTAAAAATTATATATTATTATATATTTTCAAAAGACATTTGTTCCTTGTGCAACTTATCTGTGTTATATTATAATAAATTTTTTAACTTATAACATATAACTACTTTAAATATGAATATATTAATTGAAAAATAATTTTATTTTTCTAATTGATATTAATAAATAATTTTTATTATTTTTATACAGATAAATATAATTTATTTACTTTATACATACAATACAACAACAACAACAACATACCCAGTATATTCCCAAGTGGTTGGGGTCTGGGAGGTCAGTTGTACGCAGACCTTACCCTTGTAATTATACAAGAGGACTATTTCCGTAGCGACCCAAGGTGCATTGCGTCGTTTGTTATATTTTTTTTTCAAGAAACTTCACTAATAGAAGAAGCACTAGAATTTAATTGAGTCATTTTGATCTAGTCCATTATTAGCACTATGCCAGGAGAATTGTCGACAATGACTCTTTCAGCTCCATTTGCAATATGGATGTCAATTCGAAATTCATCAAAAGATATTAATTTGATATATTATATATGTAGAAACCGATAAAAAATTCAAAAGTTATCAACTTTTAAGAAATACATTTACAATTCAATGGTTTATAATAGGAAATGATATTAAAGTACAATTAAAAAATATAAAATTATCATAAGTAATCAACATATTTATGAATCCAGACCTAATTATTTTTGGATTGAAATTAAATTAAAATTTATCCAAGCCGAATGATGAAGTATGGAATATTGACACCTAGGATCCCGAAGCATGCGAGTCTGCCACTTAGGCTCAGCACATTCGAGAATTATATATAGGGGGAATATATATATTTTTTTTTCTATTCTTGTCTCCTCAGAGCTTCTCAATCATACTATTACTTCATGAAAGGGGAAAAATTACATGCTTCACCACATTTTTTTTTTATTTATACATTTACAAAGTAGTTTTTTAATGTTAAATTTTATTTTTTATGATATTGATTGGTAATTTTTTATTTCCTTTTGTTATTAATTTTTAAATGGTATCAGTTTTTTATAATTTATGTTATATTGCATATGGAGCTGGAAGAGTCATTGTTGACAATTCTCCTGGCATAGTGCTAATAATGGACTAAATCAAAATGGCTCAATTAAATTCTAGTGCTTCTTCTATTAGTGAAGTTTTTAGAAAAAAATATATCAAACGACGCAAGGCACCTTGGGTCGCTATGGAAACAACCTCCTTGTATAATTACAAGGGTAAGGTCTGCGTACAACTGACCCCCCAGACCCCAACCTGTTGGGAATATACTGGGTATGTTGATGTTGATGTTGATGATGTTACATCTATTAATGATAAATTTATGATTTTATTTTGAATGTTAGATTTTTTTACAAAAAAAATTCAAAATGCATAATAGAAGAAACCATCAACATGAGTTTATTTTATGTTTCTGCAATGATATTTATACTTCATTAGAGTTTGAATATCACTTACAAAATTGAACACGCATTACAAAATTTGACCTGTCAGACAAAGCCAAGTGCAACTTTGAACTAGATACCCACAATGCTTTGGGTCCATTCAAAAAAATATACATGCCACGGACCCAAAAAGATATACATGCCACATAGAAAATAGACTCAGTCTAGAAAAATATACTCTCCAATGCAAGTGAAAATAGGCTGAGTCGTGCTGCCGTGGCAACAAGAAAAAAAGACACAGTCTACCATTAAATCTATTTTAGACCCAAGTAGAGACCACGTCTCTTTGCATTAGAGTCAATTTTGTTACTTTTAAATATTTTTGTCCATGTCATCCAAGAGTTAAGTCTATTTAAATGCAATATAAGCAAAATCAGACCCAAAGCATTGCAGATGCTTATGAAAATATGCATACAACTTATCCACACTGGTTGTTCATTTTTTTTTTTTTTTTTTTCCGGAACGATAGATGTACTATTATAAATCAAAAGCGCACAAATGTGCGAATAAAAATACAAAGCTCCCAACGGGAGAATAAAATGGGAGGACATGTCAGGAGCCCGCCTAGAATCCCGCTAGCAACGCTAGAATAGAAACTCGAACTAAACAGACCAACTACTCGACCACGACCCCAATGGGGTAATAAAAACACAAAGAACGCAAACGACACAACACAAAGACCCCAACAGGGTAATACCGGGTGTCGGACCCCAATAGGGTAATAAGATGACACTCGGGAGCACAGATGCCAACGGCCCAGACCAAAAATACAAGACCAGAGAACATACAACAAAAACACAGAGCAAACAAAACTACAACGAAAACAAAAAGGAGAACACAGCCTCCCCTGCCAGATACATCTAAATTTACGACAGACAAACCAATTACAAAGACAGCTCCAGAGCACAGAAACGACCACCTACCACTGCAGAAGGCCTAGCAAGACGGGTATCCGCACCCCAGTACCAACCAAGTAACTGGCACGCACTCCAATCACGCGAATAAACACGGCTCGACTTCACCGAGTCAGCCCTCCTGAAACAGCGAGTCAGCGACCACACAACCCAGCTCAAATCGACTGAACACAACCGGCAGCCGAGCACTAACCGGAAGCAGCTTCCTGACTCCAGCAGTAACGACGACCTCCAACCGTGAATCCCTCACCAAGAAGGAAAGAGTTCCTTCCGATCGT